CCCGTCTTGTCACGCCGTATGTGCATATATCAATAGTAACAATAGCACAACAGAAACCTCGTGCAAACACCCGAACAATCCTCCCAACAATATCATGTGCCAATATCACAACATATCACAAATTGCACATCGAGTGGTCAAATATCAAAACATATCGCAAATTGCACCTCAAGTGCTCAAATATTTTAACTTGCCACAGAAATCAATAATACATCATTTTCCACAATAAGGAGCTCTTGGCTCGACCATAATGTGCACAAAATCTTAACAAACATATCCGGGAGCGAACAACTCAAATATTTCACAATTTAACACTTTGCCTCAAATATCATTTACGGCCTTTATAACTCAATACCAATTGCAACAACATGAACTGAAAAGTAATTCATAAAGGAACAACGCCTTCTTTAATCCAAATTTTTGGCAAATAGATTAATGCCTCCTTTAAAACTTACATAATAAATTATTTACAAATAAATAATCCATAATGAAATTATCTCCAGGAAATATCAATTCAACAAAAACACGGGACTCATATAAATATCAAAGTAGTAATCACACAAAATTATCATATAAAAACAAATTCAACAAACAAGGATTTATGCATGACAAATAAAGGATTTACTATGTTCCAATAATTTTTCAATTTAATACATAAGGACGTCTACGAATTTCAACCAATATAATTTGCACATATAAACCAAATACGTACTCGTCACCTCACGTACATGGTTTCAATTACACAATTTTCACATAAGACTCAATGCCTAAGAGGTAATTTTTCCCACTCAAGATTAGGCAAGATACTTACCCTTTTGAAGTTATGCCGATATTCTAAAATCGCCTTCTTGCTTGAATTGTCCTCCTGACAGCTCAAATCTATCCAAATTAATTGTATAACTTCATTAAAATTCATCGAAAATAATTCCGGATAATAAAATGTCAACTTAAAATTTTATTTTAAAAAGTCAACACGGGGCCCGCCTCTCGGAACCCGACAGAATTTTTACAAAATTTGAACACCCATTCCGATACGAGTCCAACCATACTAATTTCACTCAAATCCGAATCTGAATCGGTATTCAAATCCCAAAAAACCGTTTTATGAAATTTCTAAAATTTTCCCCAAATTTTCATCTCAAAATATTGATTAAATGATGAAAACAATGATATATTCATGTATGTTAACCAAATTTGCGTTAGAATCACTTACCACGATGAATTTCTTGAAAATCTCACAAAACATCGCCACAAACCGAGCTCCCAAAGTCTAAAAATAAAATAATACCCTAACCTTCGGCTATATAGTACCATGTTTGATATCCCAATGTGCGGTCCGCACATTTTCAAGTTCTGCAGCCGCATAATTTTGAGTGCGGCCACACTTCTCTGTGACAGCTTACTAGGCTTCAGTAAAATGCCCATAACTTTCTGTACAAATGTCCAAATGATTCGTGCTATACATTTATGAAAACTAGATTCAAAGGACTACAACTTTAGTTGTTGAATCATCTCCAAATTCGTTGTGTATTAAAAGATATAAGCCTCCGAAATTGGACCACCGAACCTGCAGAACCCCTGATGTGCGGCCACAAACAAAATTGTATGGTCCGCACTTTTTCTCTGGAGTACGGCCGCGCACAAAATTGTGTGGTCCGCACTTGTCCTCTGCGGTCCGCACTTTTTCTCTGCCATCCGCACTTTTCCAAAAGTTCCAGAACAACATTAGAGTGTCGAAATGCCCAGACATCGCTCAAAACTCACTACAAAACTCACCTAGCCACTCGGGATCTCATTCAAATATACCAACAAGTTCTATAATATAACACGGACCTACTCGAGGTCTCAAATAACATCAAACAACATCAAAACAACGAATCGCACCTCAAATCAAAATCTATAAACTTTGAACTTTGAAATTCTATATTTTGTGCCGAAACACATCAAATCAATCCGGAATGACTTCAATTTTGTACACAAGTCATAAATGACATAACAGAGCTATAAAAATTTTCAGAACTGAATTTCGACCCCGATATAAAAAAAGTCAACTCCCCGGTCAAACTTTCCGAAATTCAATTTTTGCCATTTCAAGCCAAATTCCACTACGGACTTCCAAATAATTTTTCGGACACACTCCTAAGTCCAAAATCACCATACGAAACTATTGGAATTATCAAAATTCGAATCCGAGGTCGTTTACACATAAGTCAAACCTCCGGTCAACTCTTTTCATTTAAGCTTCAAAAATGAGAATTGTTCTTTTAATTAAATTCTGAATCTTCCGAAAATCAAACTCGACCACACCCGCGGGTCATAGTACACATTACGAAGCTGCTCGAGAGTTTAAGTCACTGAACGGGGTATTAATTCTTAAAATAACAAATCGGGTCGTTACAGACACTTAAATAATACTCGAGTTTATCACTTTTTAAATTGCCTAAATTATTGCAAATTAGTAGACCCTGGGTTTAAAGGTAACCGATTCACTTGATCAAATAATAATTGAAGTAACTCCGCCACTATTCTAGAACGCTTAGATAGCTTAGTGACCAATTATGGCTGGATTAATTTATTTTCCAACATAGTTGTTCGTCATCTACCTCGTACCCATTCCAATCACTGTATATTACTTCTTACCCTTACTACTCCAAATGTAGTTTTGAACAAGCCTTTCCGTTTCGAATCTATTTGGACGTCTCACCCAGGATTCCGTCCTTTTATTTCGCACATTTGACATGATAATAATGATTCTCTTCTTCCTGCCATAAATAATTTTCAAATTGAGGTGCAAGATTGGAACATAAATATATTTGAAAACATTTTTGAAAATAAAAGAATTTTACTTGCTAGGTTAAGTGGCCTCCAGTAGTCTCCTCATTACCCTACCAGCACATTCCTTAAAAATCTAGAATCTGATTTGATTCGAAAATTTAATAATATATTAAAATTAAAAGAGGATTTTTGGAAATTAAAGTCACGAAATGGCTAAATGACGGGGATGCTAATACCGGATTTTTTCATCTTACCACTTTACAGCGTCGCAAGCGTAATCGTATTATCGCGTTGTATGACAAATCTAGTAATTGGACTTTTGATAATTCTATTATTAAAGATTCAATCTACAGTTATTTCGAACAGCTTTTCACCATTGAACATGAGTACTCCACAACTCATTTATTTTCTAACTCACACCAATCCTTATCATACATGGATTTCCAACATCTTGCTCGTCCACTCCTACATATAGAAGTGACACAAGCTATTAACTCTTTCAAACCACTTAAATCTCCCAGTTCGGATGGGCTACATCTATATTTTTATCAACAATACTGGACTGAAATCCAAACCTCAGTTCTTAATTTTTGTCACCAAGTTTTTACCACTTATGAAATTCCTCCAGAAATTAACTCTACCTACATTTGCCTCATACCAAAAACCAAACTGCAAACTCCCTTAGCCATTCTAGACCTATTAGCTTATGTAATACTAGTTACAAAATCATTACAAAAATCATCGTTGCTCGTATTATGCCTTTCCTTCAGCAATTAGTGGGGCCTACCCAATCCGGTTTCCTCCAAAATCGTCGTGCGGCAGACAATGCTATTATAGTCCAAGAAATCCTAGATCACTTTAAGAGGACTAAGGGGAAGAAGGGACTTATGCTTCTTAAACTCGATTTAGAGAAAGCTTTTGACCGTATTGAATGGTCTTTCATATACCAAGCACTAAACTTTTTTAATTTTTCAAAGCCTTTAATCAAGCTTATCATGTCGTGTGTTTCTTCATCTAGTATCTCTATACTTATTAATGGATCACCAACCACCTATTTTTCTCCCACAAGAAGAATACGGCAAGGCGATCCTCTATCCTCATATTTATTCATACTATGTTTAGAGATGTTTTCCATAAGTATTAATGTAGTTGTGTACTACAACTCATGGGATAGGTCCCCAAATCTCGCACATTTTATTTGCAGATGATATCATACTCACAGCAAAAATCTCTCGTAAATCTTGCCATACAATCATTGACCATCTCAATATGTTCACCAATGTCTCGCGCCAAAAATTGAATTTTGAAAAATCACAATTATTTTTTCCCAATAACTGCTCCCATGAGGACAAGATGGCAACCCGTGAATGGCCCACGTCATTTTTTGGACTGAACCTTAGCTCAAAGCAAATCTAACTTTAACGTCTCTTATACATAGACCATTAACAAGATCTGAAACTAGAGCAACTATAGCATCCTATCACACAAACTCTTGTTGGGATTTTTCTTTTGTATCTTTCTTGCTACCTGATACGGTGCTCCAACGTATCTATAGCACATATTTTCCTATAACTCCATCATCTCATGATCGTATTATTTGGGGCCATAACAATACTAGCCTATTCTCAGTCAAATCCAGTTGCACGTCTATTTCGAAACGCACCACTAATCATCCTTTTCGTTAAATTTGGCGCTTGAAATTCCCTCCTAAGATCCTCCACTTCATATGGTTATTCTGTCACAAACACTTTCCTACTGCTTCCTATATTGCTCACCTAAATCTACTCCCATCTCCCATTTGCAAAACCTGTAACATAGGAATAAAAATGATCCATCATATTTCTTTGCTTGTGCTTATGTTGCAACCTTTTGGAATTCCCTAAGTCTCTATCAAGGGTCTCCTATTCTGCCAAATGAAGACGATTCTCCCCTTACATATCTTAAGGAGCTCATTCACCAAAGTCATATAGAGTACCTCAAACAACTTTCACCTACTCTCTTTATACTATTCTCTCTGTGGCATATCTGGAATATTCGCAACCATAACACATTTGATAACACTCATCACCCTATTAGCACTTCTTGCATAATTAATAAAGTTACTGAATATCTTTATTGTGCACAACCTTTTGAGGTTTAGAACCACCTTAATTCCCATATATGTTAAGTGGGAACCCCCAAATCAGAATTTCTATAAACTTAATTCAGATGGATCCGCATGCACTATGACTGGCGCTGCAGGTTATGGAGGAGTCATTAGTGACTCTAATGGGAACTGGATTGTTGGATACACTGGTAGTTCTAAGCACACAACTAGTTTACATATGGAGCTAATGGGTCTTTTACATGGCCTTCGTTTAGCACACCTCCGCCAGCTCACACATTTGGAAGTAGCTGTTGATGCAAAAGAGGTATTAAATTTGTTAAATGCAGATAACATATTTTACTCACACATTCTTAATGACTACAGATCCGCTCTCCACCAGCTGGCTGATCCTCATGTTACTCATACATATCGGGAGCAAAATCAAGTGGCGGATACTATGAAAAAACACGACCTTATGGAATATCGTGGACCATCAATGCTCGTTTTTTAAGACGCTCCAATTTTTGTCTTGAAGATACTACTAGATGATAAACAAGGCTCAACCTATCAGTGTCTACTTAATCCAACTATATTCTGCCAATCAACTAATCACAGCTCCTTTTTGTTAAACTCTCATGTATCTGCACCTCATACAAATCAATGTACTCAAATAGCCCTTTGGCTGTGGACTCACACCTAGATCCACCAAGGAATGGTAACGCTTTTTTGTATAGTGTAGAAAATCAGTCACCCTAGCTTGCTCCTGTTATGTAACTGCTTTTGTATTATACTAGCCTCCTTATGATATGCGCTTTGCGCGTGTATTTATATTAATTGAATATATAATATAAAAATTTAGAACAATATTTTTGAATAATGTATTCGAGTTATATAATAAAATTATATTATAAAATATAAATTTTAGAAAATGATAGAATATTGATCCCAATTAGATAGATTGTCTCATGTGAAATATATTTGTGAAGGGTAAAAATGTCGATCAAGATTTCGCGAAGGAAGCCCTTTTAGAGTACGCAAAGCGCGTGTCTACCAATATTTGACATTCAATTCTTATGTGTCATTTTGAAAGTATTTGTTGGATTTGATGTTGAGCTAAAGAATATCATAATTATGAATATTTTAAGTTAGTTTATATCTAATTATAGTATTTAGTAAAATGTGTATTTACATTTTAGTACATAAATTATTCCTAATGAGAGTTGCACCTTGAACCTAAATTATTCCTAATGTAATTATGTTTTAATAAAGCTTACAGAACTAAATTATGTGTCTATGGGAACTTTTATACCTTTCTAACAACTCAAATTGATTCTAAGGATTCACATCCCTCTTGTTCACGTTGACCGAGTGGAACTTGCAATAAGATTGAAAGTTTGGAACTCTTCCTCGCATGGTAAATACAATTTGGTGAATACCGAATACTTACTTGAAAATTTAGTTGATTAATATAAGGTAACAATATTTATTATTTTGGAGTCATAAATATTAGGACTTCAGACATTCAAATAAGGAATAATTTAATGAGCAAAATTTTAGTTGATTTTAATGTTCTAAATATTAGAAAATTAATTAAATTGACTATTTTATCCAATATAAACTCTATTATTAAGGGATAAAAAAGTCGAACGACATTTCGCTAAGGACATTCGTGCTTTTAATATAGTATAGATAATACTAATCTTTCAAGACAAAAAAAGGACATAAACTAGGGTAGAATTTAACTCATATAATTGTGATCCGATCAATCCAATTTAAATTTAGGGAGAAATGTGAATAACTACAATTCCTTGAATGAAATTACTAATAAAGAATATAAGTTTTTACACATTGTTTATCCTTTAATAAGTGAAAAGTTGATAAACCGTGTTTGCGTATACCACTTAGAAGATTTTCTCTACCCAAAAATTTAACTTTTTCATAGATTTTATTAAAAAAAATTGGATTAGCCCATGGGCCAGCCCGCTCAACGTAACACGAGATTTTTACACACACATATATATATATATATATATATATATATATACACACTCTGTATATTATATATAAAAATTATATAAATTTTATATATTTTTTCGGCTACAAGATGTAAATAATTTTTGATATGGGTTAAAAGTGACAATACCCCTTAAATGATTAGGTGAGCGGCTATTTAAGTTACGTGTAACACTTGCGAAATGAAGTATTAAGTTGGGTTGGGCTGTTAATTTTTCCATTTCGTAAGGGTTGTATTGGGCTAGACTGGAGTAGTTCGTTTTGACGGCTTTACTTAATTTTTATTTATTTATTTAATGTTAATATTTGAGTGTCGATAAATATTTATTCTTTTACTGCTTCCTTCATGGTATGATTCGAGAGCTAAATAAAGTGATATTTGACTCACTCTATATTCTGATTCGACTTTTCTCTAGCATTTTGGTCAATTATTTTTTTACCGTCAAATCTCTCTATAACAACTCTGAATTTTTTTGACTGTTATAGCGAAATGCTGATATAAAGAATATAACATTGCATAAAAAATGGTTCAATAAACTTGACTTTTATAGTGAATGACTATTATATAACAATGCTGTTATAGAGAGGTCTTACTGTACTTTTCATTTTCAAGACGTTAGCGAAGGTGACTACGCGATGATCCAAATAAGCAGAAACCACCATTTTGATCAAAATTTAGTCAAAGTTACGGCATTTTTTATGATATTAAGTCATCATTGCCAAAAGGATAAATTATTTAGTTCTCATAGCAAAACAATGGCGACAATGGACATTGATTTAATCCAAAGTAAATCTATTTTAGTGCTAGAATTTCTCTCATCAAAGCAACAACCGTCATGTTGTTCCAATATTATTTTATCATTCCAACATGATAAATTGATCATATTCTAACGTGTCAAGTCAAAAATTTAGTAGTATTCGATTTCCACCTACTCTCTACATGGCAAGAAAAGACAATACTATACTATTTTAGGACTCCCCATCAATGAAATTTAAGAGAAGATGATATGACAAAACAAACACTGGATTCTCTTTGCGTATGACGTGAAACTCGTCAAAGTATGACTACAAACAAAAGGACAACATAATAAAACTAAGATAACAACTTCTGACTTGGTAATTACATTTTCAAAATCTATGAAATGTGGTTATGGACCTTTTACTATTTAAATATATACTCGATTATTTGGGAATTCCTCGTACGTCTTTGTAAGATTAAGATTCAAAAGTATTACATAACAATAAATTAATAAATACATCGTTATCTTCTTTCTTTCCCTTTGCATTTTCAGTATCGTAATAAATTTAAATTTTTTCTACAATTCAACCTTTTCAAGCACATATATGCTATGTTGGAAACCTTAGCATATATACCTACGTACAAAGACGACAACAGAGAATAAACTCTTATATTATAACAATCCATCAAACAAGTAGGGAAAAACAAATTATTCCAACATTTAATACTCTCAAAAGTAGGTAGAAGCTTGTCTAGTGCGGTTTATATATCCTCCTCTGAGGTTTGCAAATTACTATTTTACAGGAGCGAGATTTATCCTATGCGCATCCGAATGATAGCGACTGCGAGTTCCCTTCTTAACCAAAAAAAAGTAGACAGAAGACCAACAAGGCATTGGTCTTGAATACAACAAAACTTTTATTTTACATCAACAACATATATCATAAACACGCTATAATAATTATTTTTCAAGCATCCATAGGAGAAGCATATGGATCTTCAGCATGAGTTGGAATTTTGGAAGTTCGAGCCATAAATGCTCTAATCAGAGGTTTAACCTTCTCCACAGTCTTAATTATTCCCAAGAACATAAACCTATAGAGAATCACCATTCCAAAAACAATTGCAACATCAACCCATTTTGAATATCCCATTTGCACTTGCCATATATTTCTCAAAATTTCATCACCAGTAATTGTAGCTGGCCCTCCAATTTGCTCATTAGGAAAACTTAATCCCAAGAACTCATTTTTGTAAAACCCTTGATTTGCATATTTGTGAAATGCAATATAATACATTGGATATTTCCAAAATGGATTAGGAAGATCATTAGGCAATCGAAAGAAACCCCCGTTAAGCATCATAACACCTTGAATTCCAGCTCCTGTTATAATTCCCATGAGAAAATCTGGTACTATACTTGCTACAATCATCATTAGGCTTTCGACTAACATCATTGTTGTGAATAGCATTAGGGCAAAATAAGCAAAGTGATCAAATTCCTTTTGTAATCCAACAAGGTAATAAGCCATAGCACCAGGTATTACTGAGATCATTGCTAGGTATGGAATGGAAGAGAATGTATTTCCCACAACATATGCAGCCACACCATAGTGCCCATTTAATCTTTCTCGAGTGAAAATCTAGCAACAATTAGGAGCAAATGACAAATAATTAGCACCATTAACTGTTATTATGTGAAAGATTATAAAGGGAAGGCCAGTGCACTAAGCTCCCGCTATGTGTGGGGTCCTAGGAAGGGCCGGACCACAAGGGTCTATTGTACGCAGCCTTACCTTGCATTTCTATAAGAGGCTGTTTTCACGGCTTGAACCCGTGACATCATTGTCACATGGTAGCAACTTTACTAGTTACACCAATGCTCCCTTCTTATTGTGAAAGATTATGTGTAAAATAAATGAGGGTGATAGTTAGAAGTGCATACTTTCATATCCTCCACAAAGGAAGGGAATCCACCAATGGCCATAAAGGTTAAGAAGGCAGCAACAAACATAAGCATTGAACCTCTAGCCTGAAAAGGTATCAAAAGGGAAGAAAGGAAAATGTTATAGTCTGACATGTCAACTAAAAGTTAACTTTAGATAACTGTCTATACGTTGCAGGTCTAATTCAAATTAATAAGAAAAGTAAAATGTCTCACCTGAATGGAGCCATAGTCGTGGCCAATGTCATGAAATATAGTGCCAACACACAAGCACAAAGCAATATATATTGCAAAACGAAGCCAGTAATAACCAAGATCACGATACATGTTCACAAAAGATCTCCTGGTTAGAACCATGCACTGAGTAATGAAACTGGCTTGGTTTCCTTTCTTTGCCTCTTGTCCACCATTCTATACACAAATATTCATAGTTAGACCAATTTAAGTAATTTTGTTGGGTTTGTACAATATATAAGATCAAAATTACGATTTTGATAATCACATGACGTGTATATATTCAAACCTGTTGGCAAATCTCCAGAACTCGACGTTGAACTTGTTGACAACCCTGTGAGGTCTTGTATGACTTAACCAGAATATTGATTGCTTCTGTCGCTGTGGCTTTTCCACTAACTCCTTTTTCGATATCCTAAGGTCATCAAATAGAGAATAAAGTACAATATTATAATTACTTCTCGGCAAATAAATAGATTTTAAATGTAGAAGATGGAAATATATATACTTACAGCATCAAAGTCCTTGTTGATTGTCCTTAGGTAGTGATCAGAAGGATTTCTCATAGTTGGACAAGGGA